TTACCTACTTGGTTCACTCCTGAATATATATTATGTGGTTTCCAGAGCTGTTAACACTGAAAAAAGCTACTAATAATTTTCAGTTCTTTCCTCAGGCTGATATACATACAAGCTGCTGCATTAAAACAAAACCTGCCTCTCACTGAGAAACCCTGTCTCGGGGACGAACAGACAAACAAACAAGACCTGCCTGTTATATCTAGGTCTAAATCCTAGCACTTAGTTGGTAGAAACAGAGAGATTAGAAATTCAAGGCCAGCTTTAGCTACTTGGTGAGTTCTGAGGTGACACCAATTTATCCTGGTTGAGACCTTATCTCAACACACAAAATAAACCCCTGCATTCCAGGGGTGCTCCAGGAGCCTCCTTTAGTTCCTGTTTCAGCACAATACTGTTAATTTAAAAATAAGTACCTAGGGCATGTTAATTAAATTATGTGACTTGAGGTTCTGGTTTGAGACATGGCTTCTTTCCCTATTGAGGCCGTTAGGGCACAGTCAAGAAGCAAGTCACCGTAATTAGTTGATTTACACTTGCTCCAGGTTCTCTGGGTGATTCTGATACCATATCCATTACAAAGCTATGGTCATTATACCCTGCTCTGGCCTCCTGCTCCTTGGCCTGCAACACTATCCTTTCTATTGACCTAAACCCTCAGAGGCCTGGACTCCCAGTTCTTGGAGCACCCTTAACAGGCTAGTGTGCTCTGATGACTGCAGAGTAACTCAGTCATGCTCAACACCAACATGACAGAGCATTTTTTTGTTTTGTTTTGTCCTATAGCCTTCATTAAGGCTTTCCTCATGAGATGTTAAGGTTTGTGAATCGACTGGTAAGGAGATCAATTCTTCCTCCTGTGATTCTTAGCTACAGATGTAGCTAAGATCTTGCAAACAGATGTGCCCCAAATGTTTGATCTTGGGTTATTTTTGCCTTCAGTTCTGAGGCTGTAGTATGTGCTAAGTATTTTTCCAGTTTATTAGACCAGACGGAGAGAGTGGGAACAGCAAGGGCACTCTGAGAGCAACTCCTCTTGAGATGTAGTCCACTCCTTCCTGCTCTTGGCTAAGTTTGTGTGTTACTGTCCATGTTGGTAAGTGAACAGTTTCCATACAAGAGCTGCTATTTTTAGCACTCCTGTTATGATAAACTCACAGTAACCTCACAAAGAACAAATCAAACTCAAACTTTTTGCCACAGGAAACCAGCTCACACTTAATGTTTTGAAACACACCATGGGAGAATAAGAAGATGAGCCCCTTCTGTTCATAGATGGAGAGGACAGCTCTGAAGACTGGAAAATTGCAACAGGAAACCTTCAGCCTGACCACTATTGTATTAGAGTAACTGGAAAAACACCCAGTTCCCAAACAAGCTCACACACAAGGACAACAGGACAGCATGAGACTGTAAGCACCCAGCCAGGAAGATACTGGGCAGCAAGTGTCTTTTTAATTTTAAAATTTATTTTATGTGTATGTATGGGTGTCTAGCCTGCATGTATGTCTACACCACATGCATGCCTGGTGCCCTCAGAGGTCAGAAGTATCAGATCCCCCCCTGGAACTAGAGTAACAAACAGCTGTGAGCAGCCATGTGGGTGCTGAAAATCAAAGCTAGGTCCTCTGCAAGGGCAACAACAGTCAGGGTTCTTAACTGCTGAGGCATCCCTCTGTTTTTTGTTTTTTGTTTTTTTTTTAAAAGAGGGTTAAAACTGTAGGAGAACACTTATCTTATACACATAAGGCTGGCTCTAGCCTTAACCCCAAATATGGGAATGGTGGGGGTAGAACAAAGGAAAAAAGAAGCCTTTCCTGGGACACCAAAAGAATGAAGGTACTCCAATCTTTGAGCACTTCGCATTCTAAACAAATGAGCAGACAAGCAATAACCAGTCACTCATACAAGAATAGTCTTCTACCTAGCACCCAGTGTTTCCCACCAGGAAAGAAGGAAATGAGGTCAGGTTCTTTTTTCTCAGTGGTGCATCACAGCCAGCCACACTGTCCTCAGTGGGTACCATCAGGTGACATGAAGTCACCAACAAGGCATCATCAGCTTTTATGGGTCACATTCTCAGGCCTGGAAAAATTGAAAACTACTTACATCTCTTTCCAGATCCACTGGGCATAGGAGAAGAACAAGGTCACTCATAGGTTCAAACACCCTTCAGTATCATTTAAGCTATCACATGAAAATATCAAATTAGCTGGGTGTGGTATAAGCAGGACTAGGAGTTCAAGGATCATATGTAAATCTAAAGTTTTTGTTTTGTTTTGTTTTTTCCTGTTAATTGTAACCATGAAAGAAATTACCATCCATCCTACCTGGCTTTTCCCTGTTTGGTTTTTTGAGACAGGGTTTCTCTGTGTAGCCCTGGCTGTCCTGGACTAACGCTGTAGACCATGCTGGCCTCACAGAGTTCTGCCTGCCTCTGTCTCCCTGAGTGCTGGGATTAAAGGCTTGCACAACCACTCCTGACTAGGCTGCTTACTGTGTGTATACAATTTGGTTGATTTTTTTTTTCAATTATGTGTTTAAGTGTGTGTACTTAAGTGTGGGTGCCCTCAGGCCAGAAGAGAGTTGGATCCCTTGAGCAGGAGTTAACAGGTGTTTTTTGAGGCCTCCCACTATGAGTACTGGTATTGGTCCCTCTGGATGAGCTCTTAAGCACTTATGCCATCTTTCTACCCTGGTTTCAGATTGGGGGGGTGGTCCAGGAAGAAGAAACAAATGAAAAAAATCTTATGCTACAGCCTGCTACATGATCATGACAATACAGTTAATGTCAGGTATAGTGACATAAACTTGGAATGGCAGCGCCTGGAAAGCTGAAGCAGTACAGCAAGTTGGTGGTCAGACTGGGGTACATAGCCATCTAAAAAGCAAAAACAGGCAGATCTCGCTTCTTGCTGGGTCACTGGCCCTCCCAGCACAGGCACCCGGCTGCTTTTGGTAGCCAGTCTCACACAAGGCTTACCACGACTTCAAAGCAGAGGACCCAAGTTGGACCCCAAAATGCATAAAGCCCTGGGTTCATTCCTAACTAGCACTGAAAAACTGGGGAATAGTGGTCCATGCCTATAATTCCAGTATTTGAGAAAAGTCAGAAAGATCAGTTTAACTCAATAACATATTTAGTTTGAGGCCATCTGGGGCTACATTAAGATCCTTATCAAGAAAATAAGTAAAAATGAATTGCCAAACATAATGGCACATGCCTTCAATCCCAGCACTACGGAGACAGAGGCCTACAAATCGAGTTCCTGGATAGCTAGGGCTACAATGAGAAACCTGTAATGGATGGATACAAATGACAAACCAAATTGAGGACCATCTACCCACCTTAGCAGAGCGCTGCGATCGTGAGACAGACGGGAAGACCCCCTCAAAATTGCCATTCTCAGATATGACATCCTTCCCTATTCTTTTCCTTTGAGACACAGGGTCGCCATTTCTGAGGCTAGCCTTGAATTTGTTGCAAGTCACTGGTCTCTGAAAACCAGAATGCTTGACCACCAGAGCTAGGACTACGTGAGGCAAGAGCCTGCACTGACATTTCCAGTGGCTCAATCTCTGCCATGGGAGCTGTGTGGGGTGTTCAGTGACATCACTCACCTCTTCCTACTTGATGCAAGAATGCTCCCCACCAAGTCCTAACAACAAGAACTAAAACCATACTACCAGACACAGAAAGGTCTGGTCAGACTCAGGGGCTGCTTCACAATCAATTATTAGAAAGGGTTTTAGCATATGCACAAATGCTGCAAACTAGTGGCTGCTACTTCCTGTGCCAGACACAGAGCTTGCAGGCAACCCTGGCCCACAGAAGCAGGTGCTGCTCGCAGTCCAGCTGGCACTTCTTTCACACAGGGTCCCACAGTCCTTATGGGAGGCATTTCTCACATGCCTAACACTCATTCCTACTTAACCCTCTTAAATATTTCTGTACCCCTGAAGTCCCACCCGCTGTCCTTTCCCGATTTTGAGACAGCATTTCAAGTAGCACTAGCTGTCCCCAGATGCACTAGGTGGCTGTGGACGACTCTGATGATCCTCCTGTGTCTGAATCCCAGTGCTAGGATTACAGGCATGTGCTACCACGCCAACAGTTATTTTTTAGATGGTATTTCAAAAATTGAACCTCAGTAGGACTGGAGCAATAGTTCAGCAGTTAAGAGTTCATGCTGCTCTTGCAGAGGACTCATATTTGGTTCCAACACTGACAAGGTGACTCACAACCATCTATAACTATAGCTCAAGAGGAGTTGTCTAGCAGCCTCTTCTGCAGTCTGTGGATACCAGACACACATGTACTATAATTACATTATACATGTAGCATATACATACACATACATACACACCAGTTAAATCACACACACACGTATGTATAAATCTTAAGAAAGAAAAGTAGGCAGAGGAAGGCAGATCTCTGTGAGTTCAATGCATGCTTGGTCTAAACGTGCCAATGCTATAGCGTGAAACTGCCTCAACAATAGATATATATACTAAAATAAAAACTGAAAATAAACAATGGAAACTGTCAGGGACAGGGGCAACACTGAGACGTCAACCAGTATTTTGCCATTGAATCCCTGAATACCAGCAAAATTATAGAAAGGCGGCTCATTTACAGTGAGGGAAAAACCAGGAAGGATGGATGGTAATATGGGAGACTGAGGCAGGAGGATCACCTCAAGTTTAAGCCACCCTGGTTCTACTGTGAGGCCTCACTGCAAAAAAGGTAAAAAGCAAACAACTCAACTCAAAGACAAGAAAAAAATTTACAACAGGACACAGTTCTGAAGGGTGGTGTGAGAAGATGCTGGGGGAACTTGGTCATCTCAGGCTCCACTGTGGAGAACAGTCAAACAGGACCTCTGTGAGGTGCCATCTCACACTGCTAAGAAGGAGACAGAGGAACCCGTACACAGCTTCAACACTGGGCCACAGCAAAGAAGTCACAGCTGGAGCCTGGGTAGCTCCATCTCCAGGCTCACCTTGCAGCAGAAAGTAGTCTGGGGCGGTGCGCTTCAGGGCGGCCTTGGCTTTCTCTCCACTCCAATCCACTTCTAGTGCCTCTTTTACAGGGCAGAAAAGCACTTTCTGTGGGGAAAAAGGCAGAGTACGTCCATGCTGATTTGAGTCAGAGCAGGAGTTCTTTTCCATATTCAAAGTCTTATTCTAAGAAGCCAGTGACAGCCAGGAGAAGTGGCGAATACCTGTAATCCCAGCATTTTGGGAGGCAGAGGCAGGCGCATCTCTGTGAGTTGGAGGCCAGCCTGGTCTACAAAGCAAATCCAGAACAGCCAAGGCCACACAGAGAAACCATATCTGGAAAAACAAAAAAGAAACCTTTAAACCTAAGGAATACTTCCTTCACACTCTGGACAGAAGCATGGACATGTGCTCCCTGTGTGGAAAGACCAACCTCCTCCAAGACCTGGTTCATTTTTGGTCTTACGATGTAGCCCAGGCTGGCTTCAAAGTTAAAGAGATCCTCCTGATTCAGCCTCCCAGAATCAACTGTAAGAGGTGGCAAACAGGCTTTTAATTCCAGGACCCAGGGAGTTGAGGCAGGCGAATGGCAAGTTTGAGAGCAGGCTGCTTGAGCTACTATACAGTGAGACACAATCTCAAAAACAAAAGGTTATTAAACAGAATATTTTTAAATTACAAGAAAGACTAAGGGATGGGGCTGTAGAAGCAAAAACAGCATTTGCAAAAGTCCTGTGGCAGGAGTATGTATGGATGAAAGCCATGTATCTAAATCATATTCCTTCTTGTCTTCTTGTGCTGGACTTGGCCCCATAGCTTCATAACTGCTGAGGAAATGCTCTACCCCAAATCAAATTATCTTGAAAAATGCAATGGCACACACTAGATTCTAAAGCGTAATTTATTTAGTGCAAAAGGTATTATTGACCTCCCCCCCAAAAAAAATTAGGGAACAACAAAAAAGAAAAACAACACAGGGCTGGAGAAATGGCTCAGCAGGCAAAGGTGCTGGTCACCAAGCTGACCACCTGAGTCCCATCCCTTGGAAGCCACATGATGGAAGACGAGAAACAATTCCCACTAGATGACTATTCCCCCAACAGCCACATACAAAACGTAATAAAAAATTAAAATAAAAAGAGCATATGTGGGCTAGAACAGATGGCACAGCAGTTAAAGAGTACATACTATTCTTGTGGAGGAACCAAATTCAATTCCCAGTACTCATGTCCAGCTCCTAAAGCCCTTTAATTCCCATTCCAAGAGATCTGAAGCTTTCTACCCTGCATAAGCACCTGAACATACCCACACACATCCCACAATTAAAAATAAAGTTTTAAAAAATCCAAACACCACTTACTATTCCCTGAGAAATATAGACCAAAAGCTGAATCCTTCTACCCACACACAAAGATGTTTTCTGGGAAGAGAATTTCCAAGCAAGCATGCAGGACATGACACTGGTTGAATCCAATGGCTGACACAGCAACTATTGGAATTTGGGGAGCTAGGCTTTCTGAAGAGAATTAATATACAAACTAGTAAGAAACTAAAATGAACACTGTGCTGAGAGGTACTCAGCACAGTACCTGGCAACTGTTTACCTGGTGTAAACTCCCTGGCAATAAATATATAGAGAAATAAATGTAGCTGGTTGTTGGGTAAGCATGTTGTAGACTTGTAATCCCAGCACTTCAGAGGCAAGCTGGACAGCTGGACTAGCTGAAATGGTTCAGCAAGAAACCTCACCTCATGTTATAAATTAAACACAGCAACCAAGGATGACAATCTGTTATCAACCTCAAGCAGCCTCTATGTACAACTTTGTACCTGTGAACACGTATAACCCATTTGTAAATAAGCATGAATGGTAGATCCATTCATTTAGATTTAAAACTGATTAGAAGCTGGTGAGAAATGAGATAGGACTTCCCCACAAAGAATTCATTATCATTCTCTACCCTCTAAGAAGAGCCTTTTAGAGGATAGAGGGTAGAAAGTTGGCTCAATGGTAAAGAGCACTGGCTGCTCTTGTATCAGACCTGGATTTGATTCTCAGCATCCACGGGTCAACTCACAAACATCAGTAACTCCAGTCCCAGAGACCGGATCCCCTTTTCTGGCCTAAAAAAACAAAACAAAAAAAACTGCATGCATGTGGTACACATTCATGCAGGCAAAGCGCTCATATGTGGAAAATAAAGGAGAATTTGCTTTTTTTAAAATTTTGTTTTGAGACAGGTTTTCTTTGTAGCCTTGGCTGTCCTGGATTCCCCTGTTGACCAGGCTGGCCTTGAACTCCCATCGATCCACTGGTTTCTGCCTCTTTGAGTGCTCCAATCAAAGGCCTGCTTCACCACACCTGGCTTAAAGGGGGCAATTTTTATTTGTTTATTTATTTAATTTTTTTTTTTTTTTTTTTTTGAGACAGGGTTTCTTCTGTAAAAATATCTGAGACTGGGCTGGAGAGATGTCTCAGAGGTAAAGGGCACTGCTGCTCTTCCGAATGTCCCAAGTTCAATTCCCAGCAATCACATGGTGGCTCACAGCCATCTATAATAAGATCTGGTGCCCTCTTCTGGCCTGCAGGCACACATGCTGGCAGAACAATTATACGTAATAAATAAACTTAAGTGTATATGAGACTAATTGAATAGGAAAAGTTTACATACCTGAATGCCCTCAGCAGCAGATACACAAACAGTAACATATTCACACAGGAGACCTGCAGCATGCCCAAGGACTTGTTATGACAGTGTAGGTCACGTGTCATGCTGTGCAACTGCCATGCCAGCAGCTATAGGTGCTTATCAAGCACTAGGTGTCTGTTTTAATACTGTATTTAGTAGTAGCCAAAATGGTCGTAACTACCAGAAAGGACAGCAAAGCTCCTCAAAGACACACAAACAGACGGTCCCACCAACATAATGCTTCTCTTACAAAGCAGGTGGCAGCACACATGCAACATGAAACCAGTTTGAAGCAGTGAAGAGGCTGGAGAGCAAGTCTAGATAGGGCTTGTGTGTATGCACACCCGAGAAGAAACCCACAGGAAGGAGAGCCAACTCGTGATAGCAATTACACCGAGATGAGAGGAAAAGCTCAGCCACACCAGAGATGCTTGCTACTCTAACTTGGTAATACACACACACACACACACACACGATACGGTGCTAGCTAGAGTCTTAGTTTACCCTTAAAGTTTTGTATAGAAAGCTGCCTTTTTTTTTTAATTTCACATGCATTGGTGCTCTGCTTACATGTACATCTGTGCAAGGCCATCGAAACCGCTGGAACTAGAGTTACAGACAGTTGGGAGCTGCCACATGAGTGCTAGAAATTGAACCTGGGTCCCCTAGGGGAGCGGCCAGTGAGTGTTTTTACCTGTGAGCCATGTCTCCAGCCCCTCTTTTTTATTTTAAAGAGTAACTAAAAGACAAACCATTTATTCATTTTATGTATGAATGTTATACTACAGGAATGCCTGTTGGATCCCCTGGGGTCCTCCGCAAGAGCAAACTGTGCTCTTAAACACTGAACCATCTCTCCAGCCACCCCAGCTCCTTAGATCTACAAACATGATTAAACTCAAAGGAAAGTATGCCCCTTTCAGGCATGTTTTCGTCATACATCCTAGCAGACCCATAATCACCTGTTTAGGAGTTAAACTAAAAGAGAATAAAGAAAAGGGTGATTACCATGCTAACACTGAGAATGTTCATGTCTAATTCAGATAGTGTATATTATGACTACAGCCCGCAAGGATGTGGCATATTTGTACATGAAAATACAAGAACACACATACTTACACATATATCAGATACAGTGGCACATCCCTATAGCCCTGCACTCAGCATTCTGAAGCAGAAAGACTGAGAAGACAAGGACTCTTTGGGATACAGACTGAGTTCAAACACAGCTGAGCTACCCTTTTTCAACCATGGAGAGAGGAAACGAGTGAGAAAGAGGGGAGGAATGGAGGGCTGGGGATGGACGGATGGTTAAACGGACAGACACATACACAGGAATGATGAGGACTCAGCCTCTCCCTGTTCACTTCATTGGAACTGAGTTTTTCCCTGTAAGGCAAGACAGCACTACCCATCCCCACAATTGTCTTCCTGGAGAACCTGGTACTAGTATCCCACCAAACTCTGCAGATACTAGTGCACTTCGTGCCTCTAAACCCGTAGTTTTCAACCTTCCTAACGCTGCAACCATCTAACAAACCACCTCATACTGTGGTGACACCCAACTACAAATTATTAGTATTTTTAGATTTTTCAAGACAGTATTTCTCTGTGTGTGCTGGCTGTCTGGAACTCAGCTCTGTAGACCAACCTGGCCTTGAACTCAAAGATCTGCCTGCCTCTGCCTCCCCAGTGTTAGGACTGGAGGTGTTGTGCACCCAGCCATGTAACCATTTTCATTGCCACTTCATAACTATTCTTTGACTACTACTATGAATCACAAAGTAAATATCTGTGTTTGTGATGGTCTTAGGTGGCCACTGTGAAAAGTTGTTTGACCCTGAAAAGGGTTGAGAAGCATTGTTCTAACCAAGCAATCTTGACAACTGGGAGGGCCTTAAACTCTCACTGACCTGAAGGCTCCTGTCCTGACAATTCAGTGAGTCACTTCTTAAACTGTTTCTGGGCAAGTTCCTTACCTTTTTAAATTCTGTTCTCTCAGATCAGGCAACTGAACTACAAAAAGCAATGTACACTATGAAGTTAATTCACTTAGTTCATCACATATTCTATGTTTAAAACAACACAAATCCCCTTTATGGCTCTTGTCTTCTACTGCAGGAAGTGCTCCTCCACTGAACTCTATTTCCTGACTGTGACTATGCTAAGCACTGGCCTAGGAATATGACAAACAAAACCTTTTCTGCTCTCAGGGACTAAAATCTAGCATTTTAAAAGCACACTGGTTTATGTAGTCACTTATTGCACCGCACATGTACACACAGAGGTCAGAGGTCAATTTGTAGTTTATTCTGTCCTCCCACCATGTGTATCCTAGAGAACCAACCTAAGTCATCTGGTTGGGTGACAGGTCCCTTTACCCACTGTGCTACCATCTGACCAGCCCAGGGACTAAAATCTTAAAGGCAGGGAGGACTGGAGCTGTAACTCAGTGATTAAAAAAAAAAAAAAAAAAAAAAAAAAAAAAAAAGAGCCTCCTTAGAGACACACACAGACAGAGCAAACAAATGTAAACTTAAAAACCAAAGAACCAAAAAGATGCTAACAAACCGAGTGCCAGCTGCCTCCAGTCAGGCCTTTCCTATTGCCCTATTCATCACAGGTACATGTGTGCTAGAAAGGCCCAAGCTTCCTAGATGTGTGAAAACTGCAAGCTCTGTTTTTCCTTTGTTTTTTCGAAGTTTCTAATTTAGGAGCACACAGTGTACCTTGAACCCAAAGTGGTTTTACAACATTTGATTGAACCCAGGACAAGTGGGAGGAGAGGGAGACTATGACAGACACCTCTCACAGGAAACAGGAAGTTGCTGCTTCCCCCACCCCATCCTCTCTGAGTAGAGCCCAACTAGTTAGTTATTCTGTACAATTTAGGAAAGCTTAAAATCTGAATGAAGAAACTTAACAGAACTTCAAAATCCCAGGGCCACAGGGCCAGGTGGCACGAAGATCTAGGTGAGCTGGTCTACATACATTCTGGGTTCCAGGACAGCACAGGGAGAACTTGTCTCAAAAATTATAAATAAATTCCACAGCCTTCTCTGCCCAAACGGAGAAGTTGTTACTATCAGGTGGCAAAGCCACAGGCCAAACGCTGCCACACCCTGTCCTTGCACTGTGTTTGCGGGGAGACACAAAGCCAAGGTCTGGAATCCAGGGGATTGTCAAAAGGAATGCGCTGCATGCCCTGAACCTTCAAGGGCTCAGGGTTGGAATCCCAGCTGAACAGTCCCATTGTAACAGCTGACTAATAATGTCAGCTGGGGAATATTTTGATATCTTCAGTTTCTGCCCCCCTGTAAGGAAGACACTGCACAAAAGGCAAAGTGCCGGCAGAGCCCTCAGGAATGGCACATAAGGCTGCCAAATTCTGGCCTGGGCTCCCCACATTCTCCTAATAGTGACATAAAGTGGCTCCAAATGAAGCTTCCATATCCACCCTAGTGGGCACCATCAGAAGTGACTTCAGGGAAACTTCCAGCTGTGAATGGCTAACAAAGCAAGGGCTTTTTCCATTTGAATGCAAAATGCAGTCCTCAATCAGAGAAGGCCCTTAGGCCATAAAACCCTTCACACCAGGGCCAAGTGTCACACTTGTAAGAGGGTGTGATTTATAAACTGACAGAGCCGCCCACAATGCTCCTTTTGTGCTCCTCCATTTGTTAACAATTTCTCTCCCCAGCAAACTCAGGCAGCCATGCAGAGAAAGCCTGACTGGGCCTCAAAAAGAAAGGACCCCAGGTCTGGCCCAAACTCTAATGTGCACTCTGGGTAATTACAGTCCTGTGAATAGACACTAAAATTAGAGCTTAATAATTCCTCTGCATCAGGCTCACAGATAAAGCTATACAAACACAAACACAAAAGTAGGGAAAAGGAAAAAGTAAGTAAAAAAGAAAAAGGGGACAGTTCTGCCTCCCTGAAGGACTTAGTCCCACCTCTGTGGATCCTGCACTCTTGGACCCCTACCCCTAAAATCCAACTTTAACCGGACGTTCCAACTAGCTGGTTTCCTTTCTCAACCTTTAAATATACAAGGGAAAGAGTAAATATGGACTTGGTCCCATCATTTCTCAGTTTAACAAAACCATTATCAGCCACTTCAAGTTATTTTCCCCAGCCCAAGAACATTCCCCTCTCTGACACCAGCTTTTCTAAAATGAGATTGAACACCTCACCAGACCCAAATACTAAGCCTCTAACGTAAACTTCATTAAAAAGTACACAGTGGCCCTGAGTGCTCAGTTGCAGAGCACTTGCTTATTTACCCAGCACATGCAAGCCCAACAGTGGAGGGGGAAACAACAACCCCCCCTCCCCCCCAAAAAAAACCCACACAGGAAACCAGTCATTACTATACACATATTAAAAACCTCTCTATCTTGAGACAAAGTGTCAGGTAGCCCAGGCTAACCTGGAACTGAAGCAAATGGCTTTGAACCCAGTCTCTACTTTCAATACTGAAATTAAAGGCATGAGCCACCATGCTAGGTTTGTGTGGCACAGGGAATTGAACCCAGGTCCTCTACAAGAGTGAGCTCCAGCTCCACTCTTCCCCCTTTAGAGACAGGATCTATTACTGAACCTGGAGAACACACTACACTGACTACATTCCAGCAAGAACCAGGAATCTACCTCCCTGGCACTAATTTACATCCTGGCATGAACTGCCATGCCAAGGCCCCATAATGTCTGGGGATGAGCTTGGTCATCACACATCAACCCAGGTCACATGGTGTCACAACTGTCTGTAACTCCAGTCCCAGGAGGCTCCGATGCCCTCTCCTAGTATCTGAGGGCACTGTCACATGGTGCACGCACACATACCCATACACGTAAAGGCTTAAAAAAAAAAAAAAAGTGTAGAGCTACAAAGAGAAACCCAGTCTGGGGTTGGGAATGTGATATTGAGCAAGACATTCAACATCAACTGGTGACATTATGTGCAAGTTCAATCACTACTGAATAAAAAGGGAGGAAAAAAACCAATTCAAGGACCTTACTAAACTATACAGCAATCTAGAAAAAGAAAATGACCGGAAGTGGAATGGGTGATAAGGGAGGCAAAGAGTAATGACTTCTGCTCCAGACAACAGAGGTAAGAACTGATGTCTTCTATGCCAAGTAAATTAAACAAGCTTAAACTGGGCATGGGATTATACACCTGTAATCCCAGCATTCAGGAAGGCAGAGGCAGGTGAATTGCTGTGAGTTCAAGGCCACCTTAGTCTACAAAGAAAGTCCAGGACAGCCAGGACTACACAGAGAAACCCTGTCTTGAGAACAAAAAAAAGTTAAACAAGCTTGTCAAGTCTGGCCCCACGGTGCTGTAGCAGAACAGTACCTGAATCAATTTGAACTGACTGCCAGAATTTAAAGGATTTCTAATTTTCTTAAAAAATCATACTGTAAATATAAACCCATTAAAAAAACTGTACTGCATGTATTTATTATATTTGCCATGTGTTTCTGTGGTTGTGAGCCACCATGTGGGTGCTGGGAATTGAGTTCAGAACCTTTAGGAAGAACAGCCAGTGCTCCTAACCTCTGAGCCATCTCTCCAGTTCCTATAAACCCATTTTCTTTAAAGGGACAAGCTAATGGGAATCAGCTGCAGCCATAACCCATATTAAATGGGCAGGGTCCAGTCTTGGGTTTTCCTTCAAGGCTTACCTCACTGGCAGTGATAAAGGCCCTGCCACATAAAGGTCACAAGGTTTCTGTCCTCAGCTCTCTACATTACCTTTTTGACCATGGTTGTCTCAGATGAATCAAGTTTTGCTCTCTTGGTATCAGGTCCATCTTCTACTCCTTGGCCAACTTTGGCAACTTTAGTTTTCTCTCTAGAAAGTGACAATGGAAGGAAATCAAGTTTGATCAGGAATCACATTATTAGAATTTAAAAAAATGCTATTATCAACTCACAGAATGATATCATCTAAGAGCAAAAAAGCTGAGCTCAAGGCCAGACTGATTTACACAGTGAGATCCAGGAGAGCCAGGGCTACATACACAGAGAAACCCTATCTTGAAAAACCAACCAAACAAAATGAGCAAAAAGGCTCTGGGGTCAATAAGCCTTGGGTTCAAGCACTGAAGACCTGATAAGTCAGTTAACTGTTGTGGTATGGACTCATTTTTTGTTTTGTTGATCCCAGGTGTAGGATATGGGCCTGATTCAGACTGTCTATAGCAACAAATGATTTGCTTTGTTTGGGCTCTTTGCCAGCTGCAGATAGTTTAAATCTGAGGACGCTGGAGAGAAAATAAATGCCAGGGTCCAGAGATGAAGAGGGCTCCAAGGAAGAAGGCTGACAATGCTTTCTGCTGATGCTCCTGGTTGCTGTTGATGAAGTTGAATGAGAAGAAGTTGGAGAGATCCTGAAATGAGATTGGACTTGCCCCAAGGAACCCAAAAACCCTAACCAGCAGGAAGTAGGCTAAGATAACTTTGTGCCCCCTCCCCACTAAACCTCTTTCTCTCCTACCCAATATTGGAGTGTTCCAAGAGATTGGGAGGAAGGGGCATTAAGAAACATAACATAAATAAAAGAAGTTTTAAAGTACGCCTACAAGTGGTGCCCAGACATAGGGCTTGGAATAGAGACATTAAGAAACAAAAATAAAATAGATTTTTAAGAAGTACACCAACAGTTCATCGCTCTGGGAATAGCTGTCTCTGGTGTGATTATGGAAAGAAAAGAGCATACGCAAACTGCCTAACATAAACAAGCTCCCAAAACCTAAGAAACTGCTTTGCAACCTGAGGAATCGTGAACCACAGAGTCAAAACTAGTTCCTCCTCCTGCTGTGAGAATTTCAGGCTAGAATATCCCAGCCTATTTCTGTTGTAATTGTTCAATGACTAGCAAACACTCCTAGAATCAGCCCTTTCTAAACCGACTTGTGTGGCTAGAGCAGGAGATGGTGACATGTCTGCCCCTTCAAAGTTCCCTTTTCTCTGGTTTACGAGGCAGGGTGTCTCTGTGCAGCCCAGGCTGTCGTGTAGACTAGACTGGCCTAGAACTCAAGAGATCCGCGGCCTCTGCCTCCCAACTGCTGGTGTGCCACCACCACCCAGCTCAAAGTTTAATTTTAGAGGCAAGAAACTTGTGGGCCAAAGAAATACCAAATGACTTGCTGAACAATAAATAAGAACACTGCTTAGTGGGAAGCTCTACCCAACTCTATTTCTCACTGACAAGGGAGGCTTCCAATGCTGTAGGAGTGAGATGAGAGAGATAGAGAGAAAAAGAGAAATATAATGAATGCTGGCCAGATACCCAATTTATATAGTTTTTGGGGTTTTTTAGATTTTTATTTATTATATATACAATGTTCTTCCTTCATGTACACCTGCACGCCATAAGAGGGCACCAGATCTCATTTATAGATGGTTGTGAGCCATCTTGTGATTGCTGGGAATTGAACCTCGGGCCCGCTGGAAGAGGCCAGTGCTCTTCACCTCTAAGCCATCCATCCAGGCCCTCATATAGTTTATAAAGCTCTGTTTGCTCCACAGTAGGCTCTGACTCTGGAGCTTTTCCAAGGCAGGCTGAATGTGCCCAAAGGGCTGCCCCTTTAACTAGCAAATTCTCCTCCACCATCTCTCAACATGCATCCACAAGTAGGGAACACGCCTTCCCTAGACAGCCTCAGTTCAGGAAACTGGGACATCCGTGTGATGCGCCTTGTGCACAACATTGCTTCTGGCTTCAGATGATGTACAGGCTGGTTTCGAGTGTCAACTTGGTACAAGCTAGAGTTATAGAGAAAGGAGTCTCAGTTGAGCCTCCATGAGATCCAGCTGTGGAATATTTTCTCAGTAAGATATCTGTAGGGGAGGACCCAGCCCATTGTGGGTGGGCGCCATCCCTGGGGTCTGTAGGAAGACAGGCTGAGCAAGCCTCCATGATCTCTTCACCATTCCTGGCTTTCTTTGGTTATGAACAGCTGACTAAACCCTTTCCTCTCTAATTTGCTTTTGGTCATGGGTTTTATCACAGCAATAGAAACCCTAAGACAGATGACATCATCATTTTTGAAGGGTGGGGTCCACATATCTCCTAAAAATTCTGACCCAACTAGCTGGGCAGGTATGGTAGCACATGCCTTTGATCCTAGGACTCAGAAGGCAGAAGTATGTAGATCTGAGCTGGAAGCCAGCCTGGTCTACAAAGTGAATTTTAGAACATCCAAACAGAGAAACCATGTCTTGAAAAACAACAAAAATGTGAACCTACAAAACACTCTACTTAGCAATTTGTTAATCTGGTTTCAGAATGTTCTAAAGTATTACAGGAAAATAAGCTACTTCATCGGGGCAGTCCGTTTCCTATCATAAATACTACTCAGCAGTGAGAAATGTTCCCTTCTGCCCTCTCCTCCCACCACTTACTCTACAAACTCATGCTCTCCAAGATTTGCAAAGGTGTACCCATGGTACCCAAAGACATCTCCTGTGAAGAACTTGATGCTGTTTCTGTGACAGATCTGGTCGACTTTAACAATGACGTCCCTGGAGCAGCACGTCAGGCACACCTGCAGGGAGACAGGAACTGACTGGTAAGAGCTGCAAACTGTGAATCACTGCCCTGCTGTCTACATAAATCTTCAATTAACTGTCTCCCTGGCAAGCTTAAGACCGGTTTCAACAGGTAAAACAGGTTCTTTGGGTGCTATAACTAAAAGACAAAAGAGAAGTTGCAGGTTTCAGGGTGTTGAAAATTTAAGTGGTATCATGGCCACTTTGGACAACTAAGAGAAACATTTAGCTGGAAAGTAAAACCACTCAAGAAATCTGTTCCCTTAATCCATGAGCATATAGTTCTCATGAAGACAGCAGCATCAAGACAATCTAACCTATCACCTTATCTTACCCACTAAAATCAAGCAAGTTCTGCTGACAAATAAAACCAGTTGTCGTCCCTCCCCAACATACACACAGGATTTCTTTGTGTAGCCTTGGCTTTCCTGGCCTTACTTCATAGACCAGGCTGGCCTCGAACTCACAAAAAACCGCCTGCCTCTGTCTCCCTGAATGTTGGGATTATAGGCATGCAACACCATGCCTGGCTAGTAAAAACATTTTTTAAATGACCCAACGGTCATGTGTGAGGACAGTCCCCACACGCATTAAAAAAATAAATAAATAAAAACTCATTTTTTGCAACAAGGTCTCTCAATTTAACTTAGCTAGCCTGGAACTCGCACTTGTAGACTAGGCTAGCCTCTTCCAAGCACTAGAAATAAAGGTATGCACAATCATAGCTTTCTATTTTACTAATTCTGTGTGTGACCAGGTGTGGGTAGTAAACGCCTGTAACCCCAGCACTTGGGAGGCAGAGACAGATAGGTCTCTGTGAGGTCAAGGCCAGCCTGGTCTATGGATATGTAACACATTCCAGGACAGCAAAACTATATGTATAGGGAGACTGTCTCAAAGGAAAACACTTCCAGGTCTCAGTTGGAGTGCTTGTCCGGCATGCCCAACGTCCTGGGTTAAATCCCAATGCCATAAAAAAATAACCCTTACCCAAAATTTACTCCCCCCTCCCACATATGGGACTTTCCTATAAAGTACATAACTCAGGACTAGAGAGATGGCTCAGCAGTAAGAGCACAGGCTGCTCTTTCAGAGGTCCTGGGTTCAGTTCCCAACACCCACATAGCAGCTCACAACTGTCTGTAACTCCTGTTCCAGGGGATCTGACACCCACACACAGGGATACATACAGAAAAAATGCAAGTGTACATTAGAAAAATATTAATTATTTCAAAAACAAACAAATACATAGCTTTCCAATGAAATTTTTACTGTTTGTCCAAGATCTCTTAAGCTTTCCCAGGGTACAGGGAACCCTGTCTTAAGAGGCCAAAGACAGCATGATGTAGAAGCACAAGCCTTTAATCTCAGCACTGAGAAGGCAAAGTCAGAGAAAATCTCTGTCCCTGCCTCCTCAAGAGTTCCTGACCAGCCTCGTCTATATAGTGAGTTCTAGGAGTGCTAGGACTTTGTAGAGAGATCCTGCCCCAAAAACAAGCAAGAAAAAGTCACAGGCACAGACATAGAATTTAGCTTTTCCTTTCACTTTTGCACCGAGCAGATGGGTGTGGATATCCCTCATTTGACTTATCATTGTAGTTACTCTTCTGTCAATTCCACAGCCAAAGTGGCTGTATTTAAAAAAATAAAATAAAAAATTGAGATCAGATGTGTTGGTTATCTTTGTTTTTTAAGAGAAAGTCAGCCAGGGCAGGGGGAAGTGTTACATATCTTTAATCACAGCACCCAGGAGGCAGAGTTGGGAAAATCTCTTGAGTTTGAAGTCAGCATGGTCTACAAAGCAAGTTCAGGATGGCCAAGACTACAAAGAGAAACCTTGTCTCAAAAAAAAAAAAAGCTCATGCTGGCCCCAAACTCAGTCTTGATCTCCTATTCCTTCCTGCTTTCATAAACCAAATGTTGGGATTACAGACATAAGCAACCAAGCTTAACTAGGGATGTTCCTTCTTTCTTAACGCAAAACACAAGCTATCTATAGCTTGATACTTCTAACAGATAGGTGTCACTTATTTGCTATTTGCAACAAAATTAATCGATGACTTAAGTTTTCAGAAGAATACATGAGCAAAGATTTTGAAAATAAAACACTAATGCTAAAATCTAATCTTAGGGAAAATAAACCTAGAGAGAGAAGTCAGCAAACAGCAGGCATCTCGCAAACAACCACAATTGATCTAACACACTAGACCTACATAGAAACATTTATACATGTTAAAGCCCAAAGAACAGAACAGTTTATAAATGTACATGAAGGAACACTCAAGAGCGTGTGATCTGAAAGCTCTTTCTTGTACACCTACAGTTAATCTTGCTATGAAATCCTGGCTGGCCTCAAGCTGGGAGCAGTCCTCCTTCCTGCTCCCAAGCACTGGGGTTCAGGTGTGAAGCCATACTGAGCTTCCACTACTACTTGAGCTTGCTTGACTCTCCCAGCAGGCTCAATACTTGGAAACTTACCGCATCAAACTGAGTAAAGAAGGCCTCCGGCTTCTTCTCTATGTCCTCAGTGTCCACCTTTACATCCACCATGGGGTTGAGATTCTGGGCTCGTTCCAAAGAGGCCTCAGCTCTGTTTTGGCCCACAGACCCAGTCTGAATCAAGAACTGAACTCCAGGGTCTTCTGGAGATACCTAAGAAATAAATTTTCTTCTTAATTCTTGAGTCTTTCTGGAATGTAAATCTCAAAGACATCCAAACTATAAGGATGCTAAAATGCCCAAAACCGATTGTTATTATTGTTCCTACAGAAATATGTCTAATGAAGACAGTCCTGGTTGGTTTTTGTTAACTTTATACAACCTAGAATAATCAAGAAAAGAGGAAATCTCAGTTGAGAAAATACCTACATCAGACTGGCCAGTGGACAAGTCTGTAGTGCATTTTTTTGATTAATGATTGCTGTGGAAGGGCCCAGCCTATTGAGAATGGTGCTATCCCATGGCAGGTGTCCTGTGTATGAAAGAAAGCAAACTGAGCAGGCCATGGGGAGCAAGTAGGAAGCAGCATTTCTCCATGGCTTCTACTTCAGGCTGTAACACGGGATGATTAAAGAGCGCCACCTTGTGTTCACAAAAGAAACTCTCTACTTAAACTTGTTTAGATAACTGCTAACAAAATGACTGATTACTAGTTCTGTGCTCAGCAGTAAAGTGCTTCCCTAGGACACACAGGACCCTCAGTGGGGAAGTGGAGGCAAACAAGTAACTGACTTCATCATTAAGGGTGAATGTCAGCCGAGTTTCAGAGACCAGGATTACTTGTGAATAGAATCCATATCACTCAAAGTATTTCATACATAAAATATATCTAACAAAATGATTTCACCACCTCACCAGAACTAAGCTCAGGGAAACTTGGTCTCCCGCCATCATCCCTGCCCTCTCCAATTACCTACAACTATCCAAAGCACACATTCTTCCAGTATCAAGAAAATAGGCTACCTTTTCAGACCAACTCTCTAACTGTCATGGTTTGGCTTATTTAAGTTTTTCAAAACAAAGTTTCTCTGTGTACCAAGGCCGGCCTTGAACTCACAGATATCCACCTGCCTCTGCCTCCTGAGTGCTGGAATTAAAGGTGTGTACCACTGCACCCTACAAGTATCATGTTTAAGTCACCACATCCTACCATCACATCATTCCCTACTACAAGGCAAAAACTGATTACGATTACGGCCAGTGGGTCTGGACCATTGCGGCTAGATTAAAATCCTGGTTCAATCACCGACTCTTCATGTACAGAGACACAATACTTAACATTCACCATTCCACACATAGCACCGACCACATAGCATTCTACTCCCTGACTCTCAGATCCTGGCTCTTCCCTTCATAAGACATTCTAGTCTCCCTAAGGCCCTCTCAGGTATAGCTGTGTGTGGGAGTCCATCTCAGGTCCAATCACTCCACTATACATAAGTTCCAAAAACCAACTCACTGACCCTTTTAGATACCAAAATCTGATGTCACTTCTCAAGTGACTTTTGGCGCCCACTGTCCCCTACCCTCCAACCGAATCAGTTAAAGTCCTGTCATCCTGGATGTCCCATCAGACCTTCATCACTGAGCTCTCATCTACACCTTTCGGTGAGAAGCCACTAGCAATCCACTTAACCGCCGAGGCCAGAGACCCTGTCTTCACACACTCCTGGCCTGCTTGTAGCCCTGCAGGGAGCTGGCTAAGGGCATGGGCCCTGGAGTCAGGCTGCCTGTGTCCTGCCCAGACTCCTCACCGAGACTGAGAAACTGTAATAATCAGGGCCTCACTTCCTTTCCCTCAATTTGCTTATCTAGCAAATGGTGGCATATCCTAAAACTCAAGTAGTTCTGAGAACAAGAAACAGCAAGAGTCATCTTCTATAACCGTTCTTGGGATGAGTGCACTTCCTGCCATCTCTATCACTACAATTCTCAGACCCTTTCACTTCTCATCCACTCTACGCAGCAAACTCCTGAAGTGGTCTCTAGCCCTACATCTTGAGTCAATCAATAATTAACAGTGATTATTGATCCAGGAGATCTAGATTAGTGATGTACTTTATTAATAGTGGTCTTCTTGATGGGTGATAGAGACCAAAGCTGGTCAAGTTCCCTCCTCTCTCCCTTCTTTTCAAACTGTCTAATGATTATTCACCCAGAGGCCTCCAATAGACCCTCCTAAAAGATCCCTCGCTAAAGCAGAGTCTTTCAACTTTAAGATAAACACATCCTTGATCTCTATTCAAGATCAGAACTCTAGGAAACCTCTCAGGTGTCATATCACAATCTGAGACAGGCTGGCTTCTGGATAAAGCTTTGAGAATGAAAGCCAGACCCCAAGCACCCTTTTTTAATTCAGTGCATAGCAGACCCAAGAAGTGCTTTTGGATGTATGCTGAATATAAACCAAATAAAATGCTAAGGGGCAGGCATTAAAATCCTCATCTAAAAGAAACAGCCTGAGACGTCCATTGTCCAGATTTAGGAGCTGGGACTATAGCCAAATCCACAGGATTCCAAGGCCTTCCAAACATTTTGCACCACTGCCTTCTAGGGGTGTTCTTCGGAAAATTTCAGAAGAAAAAGAATTTATGGACTGTTAAATTTATCTGATGGATTTTGGACTAGGTAAGCTGACTAGCACTAGGCTACAAGAAGTCCAACATAAAGCACACCTAACTGTAACCTGGAATGCTTTTACATTTGTATTACAGCCCAGGTTCTCTACAGTGTAGCTGCGATTGAGGACACTCAAAAATAAGGCACTGTAGCCCTCCAAGTGAGTGGGGAAGAAATCAGCTGGTCCCTCCCAACACTGGGCAGCCCTTAGCAGTCTTCTGATATGGCATTAGAACCATCTCATACACCTCTTGGTGTATGGTGGCCCCACTTGAGCCCCACAGCCAAATGATGGCTTGGTAGCAGGCGTGCTCGTCCTCCTCTGGATATACTCCTACCTCTAGAGGGCACTGTAGTCTTAGGTATATCTTCTGTCCTGACAGCTTGCTCACAGATATGTATGTATTTCCTTAGGTTTTCTTTCTTTTTAAATGCTTGTCTGAGTTTTGATACGTAGCCCAGAATGACTTCAAACTTGCAGCAATCCTCCTGCCTCAGCTTTCTGAGTACTGGGATTACAGGTATGTACTACTATGCCATTCTCCTATGTTTAACTTAAAAAACAATTTTTAATTGGGTATAGGGCTTGTCTAGCAAATTGGCATAGTGTTTATCTAGCAAGCATGAAGCCCTGGGTTTGACCTCCAATGCTTAATAAATAGTGGGCTGACTCATGCAGCACTGGGGAGGTAAAGGCAAGATCAGAAGGTCAAGGTCACCTTCACCTGAAGTTTGATGTGAGCTAGAGCTAACTGAAAAATCCTACCTCAGTAACGATAAAAATGCCAGAAACAACTGTACATTCCTTTAATCTCAGCACTATGGACGTAGACGCAGGCTGATCCCTGTGAGTTTGAGGGCAGCTTGGTCAACATTGAAAGGTACAAGTCAGCCCCTACATAGTTGAGAGCTGGAGGCTGCCAGGCATGGTGGAGTACAAGCCCACCTTTAATCCCAGCACTCAGGAGGCCGAGGCTAGCCTCGTCTACACAGTAAGTTCCAGGATAGCCAGGAACTACACAGACAGACCCTATCTCAAAACAAACAAGAGTTGTAGCTGTGACACCAAATAGTAAAATTCATGGTTCTCTTCACAATGCAACAGAAAATCCTAGTTTTCTGAGACAAGGTCTCATGTAGCTTTGAGGTTACACTGCAAGTCCCAAGGTACCCCAACTATGCACACTGAAGCTCTGCTTCAAAATTCAAAAAGACCAAGAAGAAAACAAATAAAATATTGCTAGAAAACCTACATGTCAAAAAAAAAAAAAAAGAAAAGAAAAAGAAAACCTACATGTCACTATGTCACTTGAGGCTTGAAAATGTGTAAAACACTTTCACCCTGAAGGAAAGACAGGCTGAAGAAAGTTGCAAGGGAACAGGGCACTGCTCTCTGTATATAAGGTCTGTTGGGATCTCTACGGTCAGTCCCAAGGGACCTGACAAGGGACCTGTCAGGCATCTGTGAAGCCGCCTATGGAACCCCTATGTAAAACACATGCACATGCTCTGGGTCACCTTATAAGAGAACTCACACCACCTCTCATCACTCTCTTTTGCCAGACCCAGAGTTGGTCCCTTCCCTTAATAAACCTCCCATGTGAAACCAGTCGCATGGTGTGATTTGTGAACCTGCTGTGTAACTTGGCTGCACAATCCTAACATTGGTACATTGGCCAGGAATAGGCGCTTTCAGCCGCCAAGCTGCGTGGTGGCTGCTATCTGCACCAGCACCCCACCAGAGCTGCTGGAAACCTATTTCATTCCAAATCCACCCGTGACCCACTTTCCAGCAACCAGATCACAACCTCTTACATGCAATACTGGCTGGATTGTTGAATTCCCCTCATTGGTCAGCATAAATAGGGGAAGATTGACCACTGAGCGTCCTGCAACTTCCTCGGTACCTTTTGAGATGGAGAAACCCCCAACCATAGCCTTCACTGGCCACAGTTGACCCTTTTTGCTGACCTTCATTTAGGGCTTCCTCTTCCTTTGGGTGAGATTCCCCCGCCCCCTCGCTCCTCTACGAAAATCCTAGTGCTGGGTAAACTGTGCGGGCAGCTATGCCCTTGGTCTCTGGCCAACACTGCCCAGCTGTTGGATCAGATAGCACCACATTACTCTACTGAGCCAAACCTTCCTTTTGGGACGCCTCTGATGGTCCCTAACTCCTACCCTCCCAACGGGAACGCCTATTCGTCCGTTCTTCCCCTACACATGGAACCTGAGTTAAAGGCCTTTTAGCTCATACGCCTCTGTAATAAAACTTGGCCTACATATTCCTTAGACTAATGGTTCAAATTGGCCGATTAATGGCACATTAGATCCCAATATTTTATGGGATCTTTTTAATTACTGTAAGTGATATGGTAAATGGAAGGAGGTATCTTATGTTCAAGCATTCTCTCTCCTCCTCTCTAAACCTTCTCTATGTTCTTCCTGTTTTCCTACCCAACTTCTTCTAGCTATAAAGTCTCAACCTCAAGAGTTCTCTACCTTTGACCTTCTACCAGATGAACCTCACTGTTCTCAACCTCTGGCTTTTTCTCAACCTCCGCCTTCTCCCTCTTAGGCTCTTCCAGACCCCTCAGACCCCTCCCCAGCAACAGGTAGTCCTAGTCGTCCTAATTTGGCACCTACTTTCACCCCACCAACAGCTTTTAGCCTTACCTGCTCTTTATAGCGAAGACCCTTTTTCTATTCAGCATAAACCAACCTCAATTCTTCCCTTGAGGGAGATGGCCAGTGTGGATGGCTCAGTTAGGGTGCATGTTCCTTTCTCATTAACTGAACTTTCTCAGTAGAAAACAGACTAGGATCCTATACCTCTAATCCTTCTACTTTCATTAAAGAATTTCAATATCTCCCTCAATCTTATCGTCTTACCTTCCATGATTCTTATCAACAACCTATTACCTGAAGAGCACAGGTCAATTTGGGAACAGGCTAGAATGCATGCCGATGAGGTTCACCAAACAAACACAACACACCTGGTTGTGGTTGAGGTAGTGCCCAATCAGGATCCACAATGGGATTATAATACCTGGGAAGGCACTTTAGCCAGAGACCAGTTTCCGACCTGCCTCCTGGCTGGTCTCCGCAAGGCTGCCCTCAAGCCAGTTAATTATGAGAAGCTCCAGGAGGTCGTTCAGGACACGAATAAACCCTATCTTAATTTCTAGAGCGCCTTACAAAGGCCCCCTTACAACATACTAATCTAGACCTCAAAAGTACAGAGGGTATGCAACTCCTGATGACCTATTTTTTAATCCCAGAGTTACCCCGACATCAGAGCTAAGCTTAAATGCTTGGAGAGAGGACCTCTGACTTCACAGGCAGACGTTTTAGTGCTAGCCTTTAAGGTGTACCATGGGAGAGATGAGAAAGCCTGCAAGCAAACACCAAATGCTGGCCAAGGCCATCCGACTGGCCTTAGCAACTACCCAGGCACCCTTGCCTCCTAAAGCACAAGGACCATGGGTCCCTTTCAAATGTGGTTAAGAAGGTCACTTGGGCCGGTTTTGTCCTAATCCCTGCAAGCCACCAGGGCCATGTCCAAAATGCCACCAAGAGGGATACTGGGGTGTTGACTGTCACCTTTTCTCCCATGATTTGGGGGCATCACTCCCAAATCGCTCTCTGGCTGATATCCTAGTCCTGGCTACACATGACTGAAGGTACCCAGGTTCCCTTGACCCAACCATTGCCATCACTAGCAGGGAGCCACGGGTAATTATCATGGTATCAGGGTGGTTCATCTCCTTCCTTGTGGACACCGGAGCCACTTACTCAGTCCTGACAGAGTATTGGGGGCCAACCTCTCTTTATAGTTCCTCTATTGTCGGGGTAGGGGACAACCTTGCCAGCCTTTACCACTCAATTGTATTTTCAGGGGTGTTCCATTGACTCAGTCCTTTTTAGTGATGCCAACCTGTCTAGTTCCCTTACTGGGAAGGGACTTTTTAGCCAAAGTGGGAGCCTCTCTCTCCTATTTGCCTAACCCCAAGCTCACCAGTATCCTCTCTCCTCCTTCTCCTAGCTACTCTACCTACCAGTTGTGACACGTCACTTCCTTTACCAGCCTTTCAAGTGGACCCCCACATCTGGGATGTCCAAAACCCCTCTGCCGCTAGGCACCATTCTCCTGTGGTCATTTAGCTACAGGATCCCACCCAAGGTATTATCAATTCCCTGGGGATGGGAGTAGAGAAGGTCACTAAACACTCCTCTAAGGTTATTGCCTCTCTGACATCCCCCCCCAAATAGTACAAACCTTTCATTTTGTCTCCTACTTCAGACTCTGACCTTGGTCTATAAGCTACTTAAGGTGCCCCATCGGGCCATTTTAAAGCTTTCTGGCTATGTGTCCCACCTGGGACCAACTCAGAACTACCATTGACAGCTTCTCCAGTGACTCTGTCAAGTAAACTTACTTCCATTTACTAACTGCCCTGATTCAACAACAGGAAGGCCACAACCCCCTCCCTTTTCCATATCATTCTCTGGCATGGCAAGCTGTTTCAAGGCATCCAGGACACACTCTGTAGGAATGTTAAGTTCCTTAGACTGTAATAAAACCATAATCCTTGATACCTCATCGCAACCCTAATGCCCTACTGCTAGTAATACCCTGATTCTTTGCGGTATTCAGGTCTACCATAGTCTGCCTGCTGATTGGTCAGGAGTTTGTGCACTTATGCTCCTTTTCCCCGAGCTGGGGGTGATAAATGAAAAGGAGCCCCTACCCATCCCGGTCACGGACTCAATAGCTGCCCACCAGGATAAGAGCAATTCAAACCTTGGCTCCTCTTGGCTGTTGCAGGAATCACAGCAGCTGTCAGGACTGGGACAGCAGGACTAGCCACTTCCCTAACTTTGTATTATCAGCTTTCTTCCCAGTTCATCCAGGACCCCCAGCAAGTGGCTCAGACAATACTAACTCTCCAAGGACAGACTGACACCCTGGCAGCAGTAGTACTTCAAAACTGATGAGGACTGGCTGTCCTCAAGGCTAAAGAAGGTGGCCTTTGCATCTTCCTCCAGGAGGAATGCTGTTTTTACGTCAACCAGTACAGTATAGTAAAAGACAAAATCCAACAACTCCAGACAAACCTACAAAAGCAAAGGGAACGGCTGGAGGCCTCTAGTTCTTGGACCTTCAAGAACCCCATATGGAAATGGATTCTGCCCTTCCTCACCTCTTCTGCTCATCTTTCTGCTTTCTGTACCCTGCTTTATTAACTTCTCTACATTCCTCCGACAAACAAATGCAAAAATTCGCTAATCAAACCATTAATCAGTTACTCTTACCCTGATGGTGAGGACCAGCTATACCCTGAGAACGACAATGCCCCTAATCAGCAAGAAAGAGAAAAGGTCGTCCCTATGCCCTCCCCACCGTCACTCCCTTCCTGGCTCCTCACTTTTTAATAAAACAAAAAGGGAGGAATGTTGAGATTCATAAGCAGACATCTCTACGGCCAGCCCGAAGGGACCTGACAAACAAGGTATCAGGCATCTGTGAGGCCACCTATGGACTGCCTGAAACCACCTGCGAGTGCTCTGGGTCACCTCATAAGAGAACTCACACCACCTCCCCTCACTCACACTCTTTCACTCTCTCTCTCTCTCTCTCTCTCTCTCTCGCCCTATCCAGAGACAGTCTCTGTGACCCCTTCCCCCTTCCCTTAATAAACCTCCCACATGGTACCAGTTGCACGGCAGTTTGTGAACAAACCATGTAACTTTGCTGCACAATCTTAACAAGGTCTATGTACCTTCTCTTGGATTCAGTACTTTTCAAAGTAAAGCTAGTGAGCCATCTACAACAAGATTATAAGAGTCTTACTATGTAGCAAAAGCTACGCTTGAACCTGCAAACTTGCCACCATCTCCTAAATGTTGGGATTATAGGAAAGTGCCACCACATAGAACTGAGACATCTTTTAAATGTACCCATTCCTGAACCACCCCAGGCCTTCTGAACCAGCAACTCAGGACTGAAGGCTAGCTACCTAAGCCTTCAGTCTCTCAGTGCCACAGAACCTGGATTTGACCTGCAGCACTCACAGCATGACCAGTTGAGAGACAAGGCAAGCAGAGGGTACATACCCGTTCATGATCCAACATGGTCAGTCCTTTCACTCCCGCCAGGATAAGATTCTTTGCAATTTCTGCCCCAAGTCCTTTCATGCCAACAATTAGTACCCGGGAGGCTCGAAGCCTGTAAAACACAGGTTAGGTTAATCTGATGACCCCTGGGACTTGCTCAAACACAGAAAAATAAAAAGAAAAATTGATCTTCACTATATGTACCCAAGCACTGCTGAATCTTCAAGATCTAGAAGATGAGCCCCAAACCTGCATAGAAAGTTACTTGTTTGTTGAGCACCTACCACGACATGTGCAAACAGAGCAGTGATAAGGCAGCTCTTCACATTTAAGAGCAGGTGACAGGGCTGGGGATGTAGCGTAGTTGGCAGAACACTTGCCTCGCAGGCATGAGGTCCTGCGTTGATGCAGAGCCACACAGAAATAAAATAAAAAGATCGAGGAAAATGTGATTTAAACAGAACAGTGATAATGGTGAAAACCTTTCAACAGCGCACGTCTGTCATGTGAGCAGCTGGGAAGCTGAGGCAAAATGGATCTCAGGAAGTTCAAGTCCACACTGGATTACAAAGACCTTGTCTCAACAACAAAAAGAAACCATAGAAGGAGCTTTTGAAACAAAATGAAATAATCAACATATAGATAGTTGAAAAGAAAAGCATACCAACAATAGAAAACTAAATCTGTAAAACATAAACTCAAGAGAGGAATACTTGAAGCTGGGTGTGGTGGCATACACCTTTAATCCCAGGCAGATCTCTGTGAGTTCAAGGCCAGACTGGTCTATAGAATGAGTTCCTGGATAGCAAGGGCTGTTACACAAGAAACCCTTATTTAAAAAAAAAAAAAAAAAAAAAAAAAATCCAAAGAAAGGAAAAAAGGATGCTTGGTTTGACGGGTGTTTCAGAGATAACAAGAACACAGAGGCTGCAATGTAGTGGAAATGAATACTCTCAAAAGAAAATGTTAAGCTGAGCAGTGGTGGTACATGCCTTTATTCCCAGCACTGGAGAGGCAGAGGCAGGTGGCAGCTCTCTGGTGGCCTATCTGATCTACAGAGTAAGTTCCTGGAGAACCAGAGCTACACAGAGAAAATGGTCTTTACAAAAAACAAAAAGAGAGAAAGAGAGAGCAGATAAATGCAGGAAGATTACTACAAATGTTTCAAGCTTGTCAGGACCAAAACCAAGCATTATTTAGATGCTAGAGCAGTATCTGGCATGAAGCAAACATGACACTGGTGTTAATACTTACTGTACTTCAACTCCACCTTCATTATAAAAATGAAGCTAGCCATATACTTGAATCTGGAATTTTAGCACCTACTCTTCAAAAGAATTGTTTTGAGACTTGGACTCAAGCGTCCCAGTTGTTGTCCCTAAAACTATGTAGCAGAGGATAGCCTTGAACTTTGACCTTTCTGCCTCTACCTCCAGTGAGCTAATAGGTGTGCACCTTCTTGCCCAATATATTTAGTAGTACTATCAAACCCAAGGCTTCATGCATACAAGGAAGGCAAGCAACTGAGCTACATTCCCAGCTGGTAAAATCTACAGCTCACACTCAGTAGTACAGGATTTATCTATACACACTACTTTACTAGGCTTATCTCCTATTATTACCCAACTACTCACCACCAAGCATGCCCTCAGCTTTCCACCTCCAGACTTCAAAATCCGAGCAGTCCACAACCCTTAGACACACCTTTCCCTCTGGCCTACTCAAGCTCCCTCAGCCCAAAGCCATTTCCTCTCGCCCTCGGTGGCCAATATTCTCGGTCAAATTCATTTGATTAAGAATCACCATGTGGGCTGGAGAGATGGCTCAGGTTAAGAGCTCTGCCTGCTCTTTCAGAGGTCATGTGTTCAATTCCCAGCAACCACATGGTGGCTCACAACCATCTAAAATGAAATCTGGTGCCCTCTTCTGGCGTGCAGGTGTACATGCAAACACACATTGTATACAAAACAAATAAATCTTAAAAAAAAAAATCTTAAAATAAATCTTAAAAAAAGAATCACCGTGTACACACAGGTCCAGATATGTTCTATGGCAGTGCTTATAAAAAGATTCAATGAAGAGGGCAGACCACCCTGACTGTGGGCAGCACAATCAATGGAGTGGGTCCACATTCAATTAAAAAGAGAAAAAAAGGAAGCAAGCTGCCTCAGCTTTTCACAAGCAAAAGTGCTTGCTGCCAGGCTGGAGAGACGGCTCAGTGGTTAAGAGCTCTGTCTGCTCTTCCAGAGGTCTTGCGTTCAATTCCCAGCAACCACATAGTGGCTCACAACCATCTACACCCTCTACTGCCATCTTCTGGCATGCAGGTTTACATACAGATAGAGCTTTCAAAATAAATAAATAAAATCTTAAAAAAAAAAAAAAAAAGTGCTTGCTGCCTGAGGATGCGAGCCTTGATGAGTTCCATTCTCAGAAGCTACGGATAGTAGAGAACCAAGTCCACAAAGTTGTCCCCTGACCTCCATACATACATGCCAAGGCATGTACCACCCACCACAGACTGAATAATTAAATAAAACTCCCAGCACTCAGGAGGCAGCAGCAGGCTGATCTCTGTGAACTCAAGACCAACATGTTTTCCATAATGAGTTCCTAGACCCTGTCTCCCACAAACAGGGAGCAGAAACACCAATTGTTCACCCGTTTCCCGACCACACGAAATGCCACCAGTTGTCTCACATCCCTGATACCGTGGCTTTTCTTGCCTCAAAATAAACCAAAGCAACAAGAAAAGCATTGATACACAGGCCTTTCTTTATAAATTTTTTATTGCATTGTTTGTGTGGATGGATGAATGGCCATAAGTGGAGGTCAGAGGAAACTCAGAAGTCTGTTCTGTTCTTCCACTATGTGGGTCCCTGAGACTAAGATCATGCTGTCAGGCTTTGCAGCAAACACCCTTACCTGGAGAGCCAACTTGCCAACCCCAGGAGCCTTTCCTACTTTGGCACACTCAAGGGAGAATGACCTCTCCAGAACTTTCTTTGCCACACCAACATGAAAGGTCTCTAACGGTCCTAATGGCTTGTCATCCCAGCTGCTCAAGAAGTTGAGGCAGGAGGCTGAAAAAGTAAAGTGAAGCTAACTGGGAGAGATGGCTCACACCTGAAAACCCAGTATGCCAGTGTTAGTTTGTGTTAAGAGTGAAACCATGTCTCAAAACACACAAAGAAATGAAACACACACAGAACGAGGGGTGGTGGTGACACTACTGCGTAAACAAATTTACAAAGAGAAAAGGCTTCAGTCCAGTCTCAGGTAACGGTGGTGCTTCCGCCCCACCCCCAAGTCATTACAGCACAGCTCTTCAGAGTAAGTGGTCTGAAACTATTCCGTTTATTCAATAGCAATCAAAAACAAGTATCGTGTTTTTAATCTTAACCACACATGCCAGGGCCCCAGAGACTACGGCTTACTTATGGCTCAATTATATGAAAAGTGCTTAAAACACTACCTGGCACATAGTCAGCACTTAATGAAGTAGCTATTATTTATATTCTCTGAAGTAGCAATTCCTCTTCTAGGAATCAATCCTACTAAAGTACATGAATGTAAAAATTATACAGAAGCTTGCACAGTGGCAATATTGTAGCCACTGAGGTTTGTCTGAGGTACAATTATTTTGAGTTGAAAAATATGAACATATAGACAAAAATACAAGTGTTGCATAACCTATACCCTAACCTATGTGATCATCATCCCCCACCTACAAAACTCAACAGGACCCAGAAGTACAGCAAGCACATGTAGTTTCAGCTATGATGGAAGCTAAGACAGAAAGGTCATCACTTGAACCCAGGAAGAGCAAAGCAAGACCCTGTTTCTTTAAAAATAAAAACATTATTTTGTCGTATTTGCTTGCATGCACTTTGCTGCATCCTGTGTGCGCAAGAGGCCAGAGGAGACGAGATGCCCTGGAAGTGGAGCTGCAGAAAGTTGTGAGCTGCCTGGAACTGAACTCCAGTCTCCTCAAGGAACAGTAAGTGCTCTTACCTAAGTTATCGCAACAGCCTAAGATGCTGTTTCTTAAAAATACAAAAACAAGCTGTGGCTAGAATTCGGTTGACAAGAGTATTTGTCCAGCATGCACGAATTACTGGGTTCCATCCCCCACAGCATAAATAGGGTGTAATCCAAGCACTCAAGAGACAGAGGTAGTGGCAGGAGGATCAGAAGTGCAAGGTGATCAGACTGAGTGAGTATAAGGCCAACCTGTATAAGTATAAGGTAACAGGAAACCCTGTCAAAATACATTTGGCCTCCATGCTTTCATTCTGTCCCTTACAATCTACTGTTCCAATTCCAAAGATATGTTTTGAGCCAGGCAGTGGTGGTGCACACCTATAATCCCAGCGCTCAGGAGGCAGAGGCAGGTGGATCTGAGTTTGAAGGCAGCCTGGTCTAAGAGTGAGTTTAAAGACAACCAAGGACTACACCAAAAATCTCTGTCTTGGAGAAGGTGAAGAAGGTGAAGAAGGTGAAGAAGGAGGAGGAGGAGGAGGAGGAGGAGGAGGAGGAGGAGGAGGAGAGGAAGAAGGTGAAGAAGAAGAAGGTGAAGAAGAAGGTGAAGAAGAAGGTGAAGAAGAAGGTGAAGAAGAAGGTGAAGAAGAAGGTGAAGAAGAAGGTGAAGAAGAAGAAGAAGAAGAAGAAGAAGAAGAAGAAGAAGAAGAAGA